CCAGGCCACCGGAGCCAGTCCTGCCACGGCAGCACCCTCACCTCTCCTCTCACCCAAACGAGGGGAGATGCCTCCAAACGTGGGCACAGGGAGCTGCTCCCCTATGTGAGGAGGGAGTGGGGCTGCAATTTCTCCATGTAAGAACTTAGAGGATTTTTATGAGTTTATCTGAGCCAAATCGAAAATTGTCAGGAAGCAAAAGCTCAATGGACTTGTTATGGGGCAAAAATAGAATATCTATGGTTATGGGAAATACAAATTATGTTTCGTTAACCATAATTGCCTTATGCTGGTTAAAGAAAGGGCATTCAAGCTGGTTTGGCTCAGTGGCTAGAGCGTTACACCCAAGGGTTCTGGGTTTGATTCCCTTCAAGGGCACACATCTCAGTTGCAGGCTCCTCCCAACAGGTCCTGGTTGGGGCTCTAGTAGGAGACAGCCAATAGATGTGTTATCTCACATCATTATTTCTATCTTTCCCTCTCCCTTCCACTCACTATATATATATATATATATATATATGACATTCTAACCTGGCTGGGAGTTGTATAACCCCAGGACCTGGGAGTCAACCTTGGACCTGGGAATGTGGTCCATTCTCATTCAAGAACTACCTGTTTTTGCCCATGGACTGAAAGGTTCTAGGTTCAGTTTTGGTCATGGGCACATGGCCAGGTTGCAGGCTTGATCCCCAGTGCAGGAGGAAACCAATCAGTGATTATCTCTCATCACTGAAGTTTCTATCTCTCTCTCCCTCTCTGAAAATCAATAAAAGTATGTATATTTTAAAATGAACTGCTTATTATCATGGAAAGATTAACAATCTTGTTGCCCAAGTAATGGGTTCCCACTCAGCCTGCATAGCCTACTTCTCCTTGCCCGTAATCCCTACTTCCCCATGTAATCTTTTCCTACCTATATAAGCATCTGGGTTATGGGGGGCTGAAGAGCAGATTTTTGTGGATAACCTTCTGCCAACAGTATTGGAATAAACACTCATATATGATTTGACCCTGTCTCTGCTTAATTTGCTCAAGTAGTGACAGGCAGCACTGACCCATTGACTGTGTGGTTACAGGCAGAAAACACTCTGGAGAATGGCAGTCTTACAGCTTATTTTATACACTAGACTAGAGTCAAAGGAGGAGATGCAGGGGATTATGTGAAATCCATCACTGGTTGATTATGGGGAGGGAGAAAGCAAAGGGGGAAATTGCTGGGGTTGGATGAAGAGTCAGACAGAGAGGCACATACTCCTACATTGCTGGGTACATAGCATAGAGATCCTATGCAGGAAACAGATAACAATGAGGAGTCTGTGGTCTCCTGTTTTGGTGGGAGGTTATGCCCTATGGAGTTTGGAAAAGGAGATTACTCTGACATTTCAAAGGTATGTTAGCTTAGATGCAAAAAGTCAGTAGGCGGGCTCAGTTAAGGTCAAGATTGACCTTTGTCAAGGAAGCTTCAGGCCTAGGATGTGTCCCTGCCATGCTTGCTTCTAGTTAAATATTTTTATTAACTTTAAAAATTTTATTGAATTTATTAGGGTGACCTATATATATATAAAAGCCAGCAACCAGAATGCTGGAATGACTGGTCACTATGATACCCACTGCAGCCAGTAAACCAGCCCAATCAGGGGTGGGGCCAACAGGCCAACCTCCCGTGATCCATCCCCCTGGCTGGCCCCACCCAAGATGGCCCCCCCCACCCTGATCAGCACACGGCCTCCCCCTCAAGCCAGTTCTGCCCCTGATTGGCCCCCCTACTCTAATCAGGGGCAGGACCAGCCGGCCGACCACCCATGGTCTCTCCCCTAGTCTGCTGGCCTTTGATCGGCCCCCCACCCCATTCAGGGGTGGGGCTAGCTGGCCCACCACCCACAGCACCTTCCCAAGGCCAGCCCCATCCCCAATTGGCCTCCTGACCCCAATCAGCAGGCCAGCCGGCTAACTTCCCACCATCTCCTCCTCCCAACAGACCTGGCCCTGATCCACTGATTGGAGCTGGGCTGGCTGGACCCCACCCATGCATGAATTCTTGCACTGGGCCTCTAGTTGGTTAATAAAATTATATAGACTTTAAGTGTACAATTCTCTAATATATCATCTGTATACTGTATTGTGTTACTACACAAAGTCAAGTCTCTTTCTGTCACCATTTATCCCCCTTTACCCTCTTCTACCTCCCCCACCCTCTTCCTTTAGCTAGGAATTTTTATGTTTAGACCATTCTGTGTGGTTATTTTAGGTCTCTGAGTTTGTAAGGCCACCATGCAGGCCTCCCCTGAGCTTGTCAGGTTAAGTGTGTTGCCCCTTTTTCATCCACAAATTCAAGGGGTCTTGAGGATGATTTGGGCAAATGGAGAGTTGTCTGCCACTGTGAAAAGTCACGTCAGAAACTCCCAGAGCTCAGGCATGTGAGCAACGGGCATGACCTGTGAGGAAGGCAAGCTGGCACAGGTGTGCTCGGGGCCTGGGATTTAGCTACAGGCTCTGTTTTCACATGGCACCTTATTTTGAGACAGGGCACTGAGATGTACCCACCCCTCAAGCTCCCTGCACCTGAGGTTGGTACTCTAGCTTGGCATAAGGCTGCCCTCTGTCTGGTCCTCGGCTGAAACATGAACTCTCCCAAGAGGAAATGTTCTCTGAGCTCATCAGACTGGGGAGCCGTGTCTCCTGTAAGGTTGTGTGGAAAATAAGATTACTATGACATTTCGGAGGTATGTTATCTTAGAAGCAACATTTGAACAGGAACTGCCAGAGACTGTGTGCACGTGGCAGCCTGAGAAATGCTGGTCTGCAGTACAATCGAGGAGCTGCAGCTGTGGCCAGCACAGGTGTGGAGGAGGCTCTGAAGGCAGCTGCTAAAGAGCAGGGTGGGTAAAGGCCTGGGGGTGGGTGTTTTGCTCCCTGGCACATAGTAGGTATGTCCGTATAAGAAAGTTCACACCTACACAGAATTTTTATAAAAATTCATTTGAGCCACACAGGAGATATGCCTGGAAACAAGACAGGAACAGACTGAGGAAATGCTTCCTGGAAGGACAGCTTGCAGCTGCTCTTCTGCATTTGGAACTAAGGAAGAGTCCATGAAGATGGGAGGCAGTGAAGCAGGGATTGGTTTACAGGAGAGTTAACAAGAACATGTGGTCTCTTGAGGGAGGTTTTGCTTGAGGGGTCTGAAAAGAAGCGTTTCAGATGTGTGTTAACTAGATGCACGGACCATGGGCAGAGTTTGCCTAAGGCAAGGCTAAGCTTTCACTAGGGAAGGTATAAGCCTAAGGCATGACTTACCTACCATGATCCTTTTGGGTTACTTTCTACAGAACCTCCCCCCCCCCCCCACCTTTTTTTTTAATCCACAGAACTTGATAACTTTTTGTGTGAGATCCAGTGTGTTGGCTTGTGACTAGGCCATTGCTGGCCAATGGGAATGTAGGAAGCTGGCCCAGCAGCTCCCGGGAGCATTGAGTGAGCCCAGGAGCAGGGCCTTCCAGTGAGTGTGGGAGCCTAGCATTGCCTTTCAGCTAGGGGAGAGGGCAAAGCGCCGACTCCAGAAGTCTGGGCCTTTGCCCCTTGCTCCCGGTGCAGGCACATGATGGCCTGGGAGGATTTTAAATTCCAAAGCCTTAGGCCCAGCCAAGACCTCCCAAATCAGAACCACATTTTAGCAGGAACTGCCAGAGACTGTGCACATGGAAGTCTGAGAAATGCTGGTTTACAGTGCAATCGAGGAAATACCAACTCCTTGCACACCTAGGCCAAGACAGAAAGCCAATCCTGGGCCACACTCATCCTCACTGGGTCGCACTTTAATATTGCTCACACCCTTCGTTTTCTTAAAGGACCTTGTGAGCCAAATGGACTTGTTTAATACGCTTCTGAATTTAAAAAATTTTAAATTGATTTTACAGATAGAAAAAACACATCAATTTGCCTTTCAACTTACTTATGCGTTCATTGGTTTGATTCTTGTATGTGACCTGACTGGGGATCGAACCCACAACCTTGGCATATCAGGATGGTGCGCCAACCAACCGAGCTACCTAGCCAGGCTGTTTCTGAATTTTTATAAATATGGAGTAAATGACTCTGTCCTTCACAACACTCAATGCCTGCTATGCAAAGCTTCAAGGAGCAGATAAAAGACTGGTATGCTTACTCCTTTCCAATAACTGATCCTATTCCTTTTTTACCATGGCTACTATGATACGCAGACCCATATTCATGACTGAGTTAACCTTGTCAACTGTATTTACATCCTACTTTCTTTTCCTTTAATCCATGCTTTTTGTGCCTAATGCACTATTAGCCTTATTGTTAAGCTTTTCGTTATAAGCAACCGTAAGCTGCTTTTAGAAACAGCACATTGTTTGAGTCAGATGACGTGGAAACGGCTGTGTGCTACAGCCACAAACCCTCTCCCCTGCGTGGCCATCCCCCTTTCATGGTAACGGCCAGGTCAGGGCACGGCCTCAGCTGGATTTTGTTTGAGAAGAGGATCGGGGGGAGAGGAGGGTTGAGAGAAGGATGTGTCCTGGAACTTCTACCCCGATTTAGGAGAAAAGAAAACCTATCCAGCTAGAGGTCACTGAGACTGGCTAAACAGCTGGGAAAAGCAGAATAGGAAAATACAATAGTTAAACAGCCAGGCAGCTTACAGCCCTCTCATAACCCCCAAACCCTCTCTTCCCTGACCAAGGGCACTGCTGCCCTGGGCTCAGTTGGTAAGCATAGTCCCATGCACCCAGAGCTTTCTGGTTGGATTCCTAGTTGGGGCATATGCCTGGGTTGTGGGTTTGAGCCTCAATAAGGGATGTGCAGGAGGCAGCGGATCAATGTTCCTCCTACTCCTCCCCCTTCCTCTCTCTAAAATCAACAAAAACATTAAAGAAAAAAAAAAAAAAGAACCAAGTTTTCAACATCACTGGTACCAAGTTGGGGTGCTTACACTGTGTCCCTCCCTGCTTCCCTCCTGCACACCCTGCCCATCTCACCTGATCCGGAGTTCTTCGTGGTGGGGGGCTCTCCACAGCCTAGGGCAGGGTCCTGTGCACCAGAGCCTTCAGCTGCCATCTTTCCATGTGCTGCTCCTTCTGCGCTGGGTCTGCAGCTGGGCGGCCGGCGCTCGCTCAGCACAGCGTGGACTGTGGACTCAGGCTACTCAAGGTCAGGAGGTCATGGCCTCGCCCAGCACAGGTGGGGTCAGTGGCCTCAGACTATGTACAAACAAACTGGTTCGCACACATCCCTCGAGGCCTGGGGATGTTTTAGCTTGCTCAATTCTGTTTCTGGGTCTTGGCTCCCAAGGGGAGGTGAAGGGGAGCAGCTTGTCACCCCAAAATATGCCCCTTTCGGGGTAGTGATTATTTGAGGCTGGTTAATGTAAGAAACAGCAGGCATGGGAGAGGCTCTGAAAATCAAAGGCCTAAAAGTGAGCACAAAGTTTGAGAAACATTTGGGAAAAGGGTCCCCCTGGTTCATCTGTCATCTGGAGCTGAAATACTACTGAGGCCCAGATATAATCTTTAGGGAGATGTTATCTTTAGACTTGGGAGAGGCTCTGTAAAGGACACTTACATTTGTAAGGGAATCTCCGTGGTAAGGGGCTCTGCCTTCGAGCCAGGCCTGCACTGGAACTCAGCGGCAGCCTCGCCCTGGGTCACTGAGCTCTTCCTGGTTACCTCCCACGACCGACTCTCCACCCCAGCATCATCTTTTGTCTTTAGCTGAAGGTGCTATTTCAGATGATAGCTTCAGTCATTCCCATGTGCACAGGAGGCAGACATGCTATTAAACTTGTTAGTGTAAGAAACATTAAAAAATGTGAAGAATTTTTGTGAGTTTATTTGAGCCAAACTGTCCATAATTGCCGGGAAGCAGAATCTCAACGTATTGGGATAATGGTACAGAGAATGGCAGTTTTTCACTTTGTTTTATAAATTTCCATCAAAGGAGGAAATGTAAATGGGTTGCATGAAATCCGCTGGTGATAGATTAGGGAGGCAGGAGAAACCACGTGGGGAAACCTCTGGGATTGGATAAAAAATAAAACGATCGATGGTGGGGGCCCTGACCGGAGTACGCCGGAGGTTAAAGGCCCACTCGCCATACACGTGCAGGCAGGCAGTGACTCCGCAGTAGCACTGTACATACTGCGCAAGCGCACCCTTAAATAACCTGCTTGTGTTATGGTGCACGGACAAAACTAATTGCAGGAGGCCTCTTTCGTTTGAGTGCGTGTATAAGGTGCCGCTGACCAGCCAGTAGTTGCTGTTTTGTTCGTAATAAAGCATGTCCCACCTACCTAAGGTCATTCATGTGTTCTTCCAATTTCCTGCACCCTGAGGGGTCAGGTCCCTGGCTAAGGAACTTGCATGGGACATAGACACACACTTCTTTTACACAGGTGGGTACAAGGTATAATAGTTCATAGTCAACAATTAACATGGTAAAACAAAAAGAGGATTTACCCAGTGGGGGTCTGGAAAAAAGGGGGTTACCCTGACATTCCAAAGGAATGTTGTCATAGATGCAAAAGACAATAGTTACGGTGGTAAAGATTGACCTTTTACAGGGAAGATACCAGCTTTGGTCATGACTACCCACCCTATACTGCTTTTATTGATAGTTAAAAAAAAAAAAAGTTTGAATTTAAACTTTGTGCTTACTTTAGGCCTCTGAGTTTGTAAGGCCACCAAACAGGCCTCCCCCGAGGTTGTCAGGTTTCATACATAAACTTTAATTTGTTTCTCTACTGCTAATCCGTCTTATGTTAATTTGATGTTAGTCCAGCCAGAAGAACCTTGAAAGTAGAGGATAATTTCCCCTCCCCAACAGAGGTGAGGGCAGGGAAGTGACATTTGTTGACATCTGATCCTGAGGCAAACACTGTGCTCTGTCTACATTGCCCCCTTTCGGCCCCATGGACCTGCCAGGGGAATGGGAGCAGCCCCATTTTTCAGGTAAAGAATGTGCTTGCTTTGCATCACTCAGGGAGGAAGTGACAGAGCTAGGGTTTGACACAGGTCCTCCTCTGCCTCACCAGGTGGAGGGCTCCTGTGAGTAGTGGCCAACATCCCTTCAGTGACAGCCCGCTTGGCGCGAAGGACTGGAGCTAGCTCGGTGCGAGGGCTGAGCAGTGCTGTGTATGACAGATGAACCAGGGGGACCTTTGTCCCAAATGCTTCTCACAGTGCAGCCCTGCCCTGCCTACCCGAGGGCCCACCAGCTTGTTCCTAATGGGGTTAGTGGCTGGGACTTTGGTTCCTCTCATCGACACAGGAAAGATCTTAAGGTCAACGCAAAGGAAAGCAAAGCAAAGTGGGATTTGTTGAAGGAACACTCCAAATGAGGAGCGGGCTAGTGGAGAGAGACTGGGAAGTCAGAGAAGAGGGGGCTTGGAGACAGGTGGAAGGAGTCAGCCCGAGACCAGGTGCTGCTGCTCATTGCTCCCCTGGTTGTAAGTCTTGTGGGGTACCTTGGAGGTTGGGATCATTTGCGCCTGTGGGGGAAGGGCACGGGTGTGCTCCTGGGAGGGAGAGTGCACACTGGGTCCTTTGTCCTGAGCGTATTTATCTCCCTCTTGCAGGGGGAAATCTTAGGGGAGTGTATCAATCTTCATTAGCTTTCCAGGTGTGCTCTTTCAGTCTCACTGCTTAATGAGTGCCAGGGCAGAGGGTCATAAGTCAATGTGGCTGGGCCTGAGGCAGCTACAGCATCACTTGTCTCGTTTTGCTGCCTTTCTGGGCCTGGAGCTGAAATACAACTGAGGCCTAGATGTTATCTTCAGGGAGGAAACGATCAAGAGACCTAAATCACATGACCAGAGCCAAAACCGGTTTGGCTCAGTGGATAGAGCATTATCAGCCTGAGGACTGAAGGGTCCCAGGTTCGATTCAGGTCAAGGGCACATACTTTGGTTGCAGGCACATCCCCTGTCCAAATTCAAATAATGGACTCCGAGATACAAAGTATGGTGAAAGTGAGGGCTTTACTGTGGGCTTCCAAGATTGGGTGTCTGGTGGAGCAGGCACACCCAGAGTGGTGATCACAGGTAACTTATCCCTAGTGTGCAAACTCCCTCCCCCAGTTCCTCATTGGCTGAGCACTATGTGGTTAACAGTTTCCCATATGTCGCCTCAGTCTTTTTGTCTCCTATTGGGTTATTTAAAGATATATAGGCTGAGGCCTTCTCTAGTTGTTTCTATCTCCCTTTGTCTAGTTGTGGAGGGCAGATCTTCCTGGAAAATGTGTTGCTTTCCACGTACACAGTTCTTTGTTCTTATACTCTTTCCCCTTCTCCTTATATCCTGTTTTCCCTGGAAAAATTCAGTAACCGACTGGTAACATGCTGTTCATTTTCTCCATTAAACGTTGGCTTTGCTGAAGATGGATCACAGATGCTTATTTCCTACCCCAGGGTGCAAACTGCCCCGTGGCTCCATCTTGGTTGGAGGGCCTGATTTTGGGTGACTGCCTCACAGTCTTCCTTGGAGTTCCAGAAACCCTCATCCTCCCAGAATGGGAAGGGGGGTGGGACCCCTCTTTTGCCCTTTCTGCTCTGGGCCTATCTGGCTATTCTTTCTCTGGAAGTTGCTCTGTGAGGCCTGGAGCCTCCTGGGCATGCTGGCCACCCCTGCTGGCTGCACAGGCTCCTCTGGGTCTGGTTCTGCCTCTGCTGCAGCCACTGTGACCGAGGCTGAGACCCTTTCCTCCCTGGGCCTCTGTTTCCCCAGATGTAACATGAGGGGTTTCATATGCTCTGTGGAGCCTGAGGTCCCTGCTGACACCACTGTGTGGTGAGGGCCTAGTCCACATGTGTCAAACACAAGGCCCGCGGGCCAAATCCGTCCCGCCAGGCCTTGCAATGTGGCCCGCATCTCGCTGTCATCACTGCACTCCGCTGCGTTTCCATCACAATCACAGTTTATGACTGTTCAGTAAACCATTCGGCCCGCAATTTAGGCTGGATTTTAGATTTTGGCCCCTTCTCTGATTGAGTTCGACACCCCTAGCCTAGTCCATGGTGGGACTCAGCTAGAGCAGGATGGCGCTTACTTGTCTAAAGGGGGACCAGGTTGGACACCTCTGAGCTAGACATTCTGAAAGTGGCCTCCACATCTAAGAGACTAATCTGGTTAAATTAGGGGGCTCAGGAGCGGGGACAACTGCCTTCCCTGGTGGTGGAGGTCAAAGGCATGGCAGTAGCTCCTAAGGGGTTTAGGCAGCAGGTATGCGTGGCAGGGGCTGAGAGGTGCAGGCCCAAGGGAGACCAGTTCCTGTTGGGGTTGAGTAGGGGCCCTGGATGCCCTCTTGACACGAAGCCCAGAGGGCCATATCTCTGCTGGTGCCCTTTCCCGGATGCAGAGATATCTGAATAAAATAATTGGCTACAAGACACATGAATACTGTGCTCATGCAAATTTATGTAAATAACATGCAAATATTGCTGGCCTTGGGCTGGGTGCCCTGGGATGGCAGCTGGTGGGGATGGGATACCCCCCTTTTACTTCTGCTTTGCCTCCCGCCTCTGTTTCCCAGGAGGACTGCACTGGGAGAGGCTGCCCCTTCGGTCAGAATCATTCTCAGTGGGCTCACGCAGGAGGCAAGCATGCATAGGCCTCCCTCTGCAGGAAGCACCAGGCACCGAGGGGACGCCCCAGAGGAAGATTTTAGTCACTGACCTTTGATTCAGGACAACACCTCACCCACAGAAAGGCCAGTGAGACGTGGAGAGGAGTGCGAATTGTCCATCACACAGTAAGAGGCAACAGAGCTGGAATTCAGTCCAGACCTGCAGTCCATGTCCTCTGCCATCGTCGCTGTCTACGATGCTGTGCTGCCTAATAACGGAATACCGGGGGTGTGTACATGTGGGCATGGAGTCGCCTAGAGCCTGCGGGCCATCTCTCCATTCCCAGGCCCATGGCCTGGCACGTGGAAGGGGAGGGCACACACTTTGTGAATGCATGGAAGCTCTTTAAGCTGGTAGTACACAAAGTCTCTTTCAGTCACAGCGGCATTGGCTGCTCTTTCCCTAAGCTGGCCTTGTCTGGGCCAGACCACACTCTGAGAGGAGCTGGGGGTAGAGTTTTTATCTCAGGAAATGGATGTTCT